AGCGGGAACCGGTCTGTATGTGGGATCCGAACCCTCGGCGGGAGCGCCACTGCGCTTCCCAAGCGGCGCACTATCCAGTGCGCCACCGGGCCGGCCCCCTAAAGCCTGTTTTTTACTGAGTTTGGGGGGGTCAACATTTTTTTTTTCTTCTCTAGGAAATACATCTTCTGGTCTCTGTTCAATGTCAACAAATCAGGGCAGCCTTCTCTGGCCACCTTATTTAAATTGCATCCACCTCTTACCCAGGAAAATACTACCCCTCTTTCCTGATGTATTTTTCTCCATGGCACTTACCACCATCTGACCTACCATGTGTTTTCTTTCTTATTCTGATTATTGTCTGTTTTCACCACATGAAGGGAAGAATTTTGGGGTGATTTTGTTCACTGTTATATCCCCAAGAACAAGGTCAGGCACATAGTAGGTATACAATAAATATCCCTTTAAAATGAATCTGCACGTTTATCAAATAAATAAATGGAAAACGTTATTTAATTAGACAAACCACAAGAATGCTCCAAAAATTAAATTACAGTGCATTTGTAATTTAACTCAAAGAATTTTAAATTGGTATTTTATATTTTATGATTGATACAATAAAATTAATTATTTTTTATGCACATTTTAAAAGAGATTTTCTTCTTTGCCTACTGGAAACAAATCTGGCACAAAGAAGTCTTAAATCTCAGTAATGATTTTTAAGGATTGAAACTATACAGTTAAATGTAATTTGAAAGGATAAAGTAATACTTAACACTTTGCATAACTGTTAAACCAATTTTTATATAGGGTGTCCTGAAGATTTAAAATTATAGCCAAAACGTGATTTGATTAAATTCTAAAATCCATTAGAAAAATGAAGACCCTCCCATGACTATCACGTAATTTAGTATTTATATCAGCGTACACTGGCAACATACAGAGTGGACACAAGTGAATCCTGTCCTACCAGACCTCTGAGGAAGGGGTCTGGATTTTTAAGAAGTGCATGGAAGGAGTGTGTATGCATGCTTGTTGTTGAGCACATGTGCCGGCATGAATTCATGCCTACTCCATGAATTTCCTTCCAAAAGAGGATGAGGACCACATCACTCTCTTGTGCAAAAATGTTATGGTTTGTCCATTCCTAAGCTGATTTCTACCCCACCCCCATCTTCATCCATCAGCAAAGCAACTCACTAAATTATTTACTGTTTTTCAACTGCATCCAACATTTCTGCTTTACTCCAGCTGCCACTCACCCTTGCTAACAGTCTCCCCACAAATTTCTGCCTCCTGAAATCCTACTGGCCTTCAAAGCTAGGTACAAATGCCCCTTCTTCCATAAAGCTGTTGGAGACTTACCCAGACACAATTAAGCTTTCTTTGATTTGTGCCACATTGCATTCTGTGTCTCTGTTAGAGCATCAGTTCCAGTTTTACTTGTAAAGCTCTATGATGTTTTCCCTGCATGATTTAAGCTGCAGGGGAGGGGGTGTATTTTCTTTTTAGCATTCTCTGGATCTTGGACAGTGCCCTACATGTAGTATGTGCTCAGTAAGAATTTGTTAAATTGAAATCTTGTATATTTCAGATGGAATTAGAAAGTAAAAAGCAAACCCTATTATGATCCACAAGTTTGAGTCCAGCATCCTCATTAAGCAATGGTTGCATTCTAGATTGTGCTGGAGGCATGTCTTATTTATCTCCCATTAAAAAAATTCCCTCTCGGGCTGGCCCGGTGGCGCACTGGATAGTGCGCCGCTTGGGAAGCGCGGTGGCGCTCCGGCCCGAGGGTTCGGATCCCATATACGGACCGGTTCCCGCTCACTGGCTGAGCGAGGCGCCGGAGCAGCACCGAGGGTTGCAATCCCGTTGCCGGTCCCCGGTCTGGTACGGGGGCAACACTGAGGGTTGCGATCCGTTGCCGGACACGGAAAAAGACAAAAAGACAAAAAAAAAAAAAAAAAAAAAAAAAATTCCCTCTCTATCCTATACAAACAACATCCACAGCACAATCAACTACACACCTACATATCTACCCTAGAACTCTTCAGTTTGCAGGAACTAAATATCACTTTTATGGGGTGGGGGGAGTATTTTAGCTTACACATTGTAATTGCACATACTTACGGGGTACGGTCGGATATTTTGTTACATATTTATGTTGTATAATAATCTGGTTATCACTTTTAAATTCCAGGACGATATTAAGGTCCTCCATCCTTATACAAAGATATATAAGTTTCCAAAGTCGTGTACTCATTCATACTCATTCATTCATTTCCATGAACATTTACTGACCTGCCACCTTACGCCCCAGCGAGGGACTGGGGATTCAACCAAAGCAGCAGCTACACACAGCACAAGTGTCAAGACAACAAGTGCCAAGACTGTTGGGGTTGCATGCACAGGGTACGAGCGTCTAATAGACAGCTTTCAAGGATGGCACACGGAAAACAAAACTTTCTGCAAAAAGAAGAAAACGTGATTGTGGTGGAAAGGGGGGAAAGTGAGAGTAAGTGGAAAGGGACGGTGTTTGGGGGATGAGGGGAATTCTATTTTACAAGTCATCTTTTCTGCCAGAGCACGACGGTCAGGGCCAACTGTGCCGAGCAGTGCCATCATCGAGAACAGGCGGCCCTGCTCGCACCTGGGGTACTCGGGACGCATTCTCTCTCTGGGATGACGGATTCACCCGCCAGCACTGAAAAGCCCGTCCCCACCCGGGGTCCAGCTGCACGGCCCCGAGGGCCCCTGTCCGGCGAGCGTCTCAGCCCCGGCACCCGGAACTTTACGCTCACTCACTCAGCGCGCAGGATCCGGCCGGGGTGGGTGGAGGCGCGCCGGGTCGCCTCTGCTCCGTCTGGGGTCTGACGGCCGCGGTCCCCCGGAGCTCCCGAGCCCCTCGGCCGACTGCGCAAGAAAACGAAACTTGCGGGCCACAGAAAACCCTCTGCACTTCCGGCCTCCGCCCGCCTCCGCCCATCACCGGGCAGCCGCCGCGCTCAGCCAATCGGACGCGGCTGTTCCATCGGCGCCGCCGCCTCCCCCCGCGGGCCTCCCCCACCTCCAGCCACTCCGCCAGGCGGCTGCTGGGGCGGCGCGCAGAGCCCCCTCCGGCTGTGGGCGGGGTCCCCGCCGAGTTGCCACGCGGTGCAGTGGAGGTTCTGTTTGCACAGTTAACAGAACAGCTGAAAGGAAGTTCTGTGTTTGCAGAGGCCCACACATGGAAAGCTCTGCATCCGCCGGATCACTGAGAACCCAGGCAGAGGACAGAGTTGGGGACTTTGTCACTCTAGAAGCTCAGCTTAGTAACTGACTTCCAGGTTGCTAAACTCACGGGACGCTGGGCCGTCCTCGCTCTACCTGACTGCTCGGAAACAGTCGGCACAGTTGACGCCTCCATTCTTGAAACACTTTCTTCCTTGGTCATCATGACAACACACCCTACTCGCTTCTTCCAACCTGTCATTCTTTCTCTATTGCCTCGACTACTACCATTAAATGTCAAGGGTGGTCGGGCCCGGACCTGGGTCTGCTTCTTTACCTACGCTTCTCCTCACCCACAGCTTCAATTTCCTTCTAGATGGAGAGCTCCGAAGTGCAAATCCTGTCCACACCTCTCCTCCGAGCTCCACACGCCCCCACTTGACAGCCCCCGTTTGACTCCTCTTGGATGTCCCGTGAACTCTGCAAACTATTTATGTTCAGAACCAAAGTCACCATCTCCTCAAACCTACTCTTTTTATAGAAATGGTACATGCCAGCTACCAGGAGTTGTCTTTGACATTGCCTTATCCCTCGCCCCCCACATGGGATCCTCAAGACTTATTGATTCTTCCTCTTAAATATTTCTCAAGTCTCATTTACTTCTCTGCCACCCTCCCTTTCTCTCATTATTGCAATAGATTTCTAAACGGCTGCCTCACTTTAGCTCTTAGGTCCCTTTTAATCCATTCTCCACGTAGCAGTTCAAGTGATTTTTTTTTTTTTTTAAATTGCAAAGCAGATCATGTCATTTGCCAACCTGAAAAGCCTACGATGGCTTTTCTTTGCTCTTATAAAATTCAGATTTCTTAATACATCCTACAGTGTCCTGGTTCCACTATCATTTTCTCTAACTCCATCTTGTGCCACTCTTCCCTTTTCTTACTTCAGCATTTTAGTTCTTCGAATAAGCCAAACTCTTGCCCCAAACTCAGGGCCTTCTCATCAGCAGCTCTCCATTTGGAAAACCCCTTGAGCCTACTTCCCTCTCCTCCAACTTCTTTGCTGGTTAGCTCAGCTTTCAGGTCTTAGCTTAAAATCTAAGCATAAATGTCACTTCTCCGGATAGGCATGGCTGAGGCCAGACTAGATTAGATCTTCTTGGAATGTATGCCCATAAAACCAATGGTCCCATCTGTTTGATTCTTTCAAATAGATGGGACTTGAGTCAAGCCTTGAATATTAAGGCAACTTTGGGTGGGAGAAAGATCTAAATAAATTCCCAAGGATATGCATATATATGTATGTGTATGTGCTTTTTACTTTTTCCACATCTATATACTCTATCTTTTTGTCATGCACCCTCGCAAAGCCAGTACTGAGCTGTGATAGCAATGACTCTGGGGCCAGAGTAGCAGTGAAACTAGCCTTCTGTGCAAAGAGATGCCAGGCCACCAAAAGGGGCACTTCCACTCTACGCACCTGTACTAAGGATCAAGACAATGTTTTATTGCTTTCTGAGAAAAGCTGACTCTAGAAAGGATAGATAATATATTAAAAATATTTTTTTCTGGTACTATAAAACTTGCACAGAGAATAGCTTTGATATTAATAGAGGAAGTAAATAATCCTAACATCTGCAAATGGGACATTCTGTTTGATGCTCTAAATTCTGATTGGCATCAAGTTCTATGGATGCTTCCTTTGCTATGTTTTACCATCACTGACAATACCCTACTATAGGCCTTAATCACTTCAGAATTGGAATGCAATGATAGACTCTAGGTAGACTACCTTTTTCCAGTCTCTTTCCTTTGCCAAATCAAATTCCCTAAAACACCACACTGATATAGTCGTTCCTTGCTCAAAAATCTTAACAACTCTCATTGCATTTATGATGAACACAAACAAACATTGCCTGTTAGTCTGAATCCTCCACAAAATGTCCCTACCTTTCTTTCCAACCTTGCTTCCCATGATCCCGTTACCCAACTAAACTCTTCTGGCTCCTGCCCTGCTCCCTGCCCCATGTTTTTAATTTTCTGATTTCTGCTCCTTTGCACACACTAAATGGCAAGTCCTGCCTCTTACTTTCTTCACATCAAATTCTTACCCAACTTTTAAAACCCAGCCCAAATCCTATACTCTCCTAGAACCACTGCAACCTGAAATGATCAGTCTGGTTTCTAAATTAACATATGTGTCTCTGTATTTAAACAGTAATCACATACTCCCTTATATAAGTATTACGGTTTTTGAAGAATCCAAGCCCTACACTTCCAAGATTCCAAGTTCCTGGAGGGCAAACTATATGTATTTTATAAGTATGACTATTTAACATATTGGCTGCTTTAAAAAACAACCAAACCAAAAACAAAGAAAACAAAACAAAAACTAGAGACCCAGAAATTGACAGGTCCAAATGTGTGATGGCCACCTTACCACAGTCAGCTGTCCTAAGCCATATCTCTATATCAACAATTTTAAATTTGCAAAAGACACAAAACTAGAAAAAATAGCTAATACTGTGCCTGGTAGATTGTATTACTTTCAAATCTTTTCTTTCCTTTCCTGCCCTTTGCCATAGTTCACTAAGAGTAGAGTTTACCTCTTCGTGTGCAAACTCTGGCCTTGGCCATGTGACTTGCTTTGACTAAAGGAATGTGAGCAGTGTGATGTACACACCATCTGACTTTAAACTTTGCATGTTCTTTGTGATCGACTTGTCCTCGTGTGCAAACTCTGGCCTTGGCCATGTGACTTGCTTTGACTAAAGGAATGTGATCAGTGTGATGTACACACCATCTGACTTTAAACTTTGCATGTTCTTTGTGATCGACTTGTCCTCACATGCTTCTTCCCTGTGCCAGGAGAAGGCACGCCTCAGGTAGCTGTGGCTCCTCCAGCCTGAGACCTAGAAGGAGAGGTGTGTGGAGTCCCCTTGAACCTGCCGCCTGGAGCAGAACAGCGGCAGCCAGCCCACAGACCCATAAGTGAGAAGTGTGTGTTTGTCATTGTTGTCTGTCACTGAGATTCTCTTCCCCCCACTGAAGTAGCTAATTCATGGATGACTGAATCGAATTTTTAAATTATCTTAACAGGCTAGAATGCTGCTGGGTTGGAACCAACTGGATAAAACTTTAAAAAGTAAAGGCAAAGGCTTGTTGGATTTCAAAGAAAAGAGCAACAAATGATAGGGTACTCTTTGTCACCAGTGATCAGTCAGAAACAGCAGGCAAGAGGAAATTTACTGCCTGTCATCCAAAGTAAAAGTAGTCAAAAAAGAGTCAAGGATGGTGAGGAGTCTAGAAACCACATCATCTGATGAGTAATTGAAGGCACTGGAGTAACTCATAAGTCCACATGATGTTATAGCAGAAAAATGTTTAGAAACCATTCCAGACTTCCCATTTGGAGGAATTTTATTTTTGCTTGGTGAAAAGAAGACAGTATCATTACTATTCTTCATTCACCCCTTCTTTTATTCCCCAATTATACAATTGTGTTTATTTAGTTATCTCTGCCTTGTTGCACAAAGCATTTAATGTGAGTTATAACAAAAATATTTACAATAACTAGAAATATAAATATAAAGAATACAATGCAGCCTACAAGGCAAAAAGATAGATATTATCAGTTACATAGCTCTCACTATACTATGTTAGGAAAGATCTCCTGGTAGATTATTTTCAATAATGTTCACATCATCCACTTCTGTGTTATCTACACCTCTTTGCAATGTGACTCTGTAGCTTCCTCCAGCATGAGATGGGGATTATTTCTCCACCCCTTGAATCTGGGCTGGCTAATATTAAGCAGCAGACATGACACTGTGTCATTTGGAGGCTAGACCTCAAGAGACCTACATACTCCACCCTCTGAACCCTGCTCAGCCTCCATATCAAGTCAGCCTAGCTTGCTGAGGGTGCGAAACTACACAAACCATAGTTAAATTGAAGTAGTTGTCCAACCTTAGGCCTAAGATACATAAGAGAACTCAGGCAAGATAAGATGAGCCTGACCCAGATAAGCAGAACTGCCCCCTTACCCTGACTCACATGCAATGATAAAAGGTGGTTGTTCTACCTCACTGACTTTTGAGAAAATTTTGCTTTGTTATGTATCAGTATATCACTGACATAGATCTTAGGGAGGGAAGCAAAACATCCTACAACTAAATTCTAAAACAAAATCTCTCGAGTGCAACAGGCCCATTGCCTTTCTTCCACCATGAGAATTTCCCCCGGGGTCACTCCATCCCCAAGGCGTACTCGATTCTATGTGTCCTTACCATGCCCCCATAAAAATACTTAGTAACCCTGTGCTCTTTCTTAAAAGTTTTGATCTGTTTCAAAATGGCAGCTACAAATCTGATGAACGAATCTATAGTAATATGTTTAGAGACTTTCCGTCTCCTCCCAGCTTCCACATTGCATTTTAGCCATATTCTTCTGTTAGTAGCAATGTTTTAACCTAAATATCCGATAGTAGGAATTTCTAAAAATGCCAATCAATGCCTCCTCACTTCTCCTTTCCAACTGTAAGCCTTGCTACTAGGCAACCCTGAGAATGCCACTTAATCAGCGTAAGCCATCCTTGTTCAGCTGTAATATAATGGAATTGAAATAATAGATTTCTAAAATTCCTTGTAGTTCTCTGGATTTGGATTTTGTAAAGTCACTTACTTGTCTTCATGTGTGTATTTTCCTCCCAGTCAATAATT